TCTTTAGTAATGAGGAGTCTTTCTATCTGAGAACAACAGGTGTCTTTCCATTTGCTCATCTCCTTTTGTACCATTGGTATCGTCTATATAAAGTTTTTATATAGGTTTTGCATCTCTTTTGTTAGATTTATTACTAGTTATTTTTCCTTGCTATTTTAAGTGGAACTTTCCTCTTTTGTACATTTTCTATCTGGAGGTAGTCTGAAGACATAAAAGCTATTAATTTCTGTATAATTTTGTGCCTTGCTACCTTACCAAATTTACTTACAGTGAAATTTTAGTTGATGGCTTGAATTTTCTAGAGAGATATACTGTTTGCAAAAATGGTAGTTGTCCTTTTTCCTTTTCAACTTTTACATTTCTGATATCTTTCTGTTACCTAATAGCATTGGTTATTACCTCCAATACACTGTTAAATAATAGTGGTGGTCAGGGCACCCTTGTCTTTAGTATTTTAGAAATGTCTCTTGTGTTACTACTTCACCATGAGCAGTTTTTAAAAATATATGTACATATTAATATTAATATTATATTCCATTTGGATCTAAAGAACATTGGATCACAATAGGAAAAGTACATAATTTCTATCTTACAGAGTAATTTTTAAAAATCAAGATTGTCGATTCTGTCAATACTTTTCAAGACCCATGTAGATTATCCTTTGTTTTTCACCTGAGATTCCTTAATGATGAATTTCATTAATAGATTTCCTAATAATGAACTATCTTAAAATTCTTGAAATAAATCCTACTTGATTGCTATGTATTTGGTTACATTGAAATATTCTTCCCTCTAGTAAGACAGAATATTGACCTTTTAGTTATAGATTTTCAAAATATTATATATATCTATCTACTTACCTATCAATAGTCACCACTGGTGGCAGCAAATAAAAAAATTTTTCCCCTTTGGGGGAGGAATTCTTTTACCAGTATCATTATGGATGCATGGATTTTTTTTTTTTTTTTGGTCACTTTGTCGCCCTTGGTAGAGTGCTGTGATGTCACAGCTCACAGCAACCTCCAACTCCTGGGCTTAGGTGATTCTCTTGCCTCAGCCTCCTGAGTAGCTGGGACCACAGGCACCAGCCACAATACCTGGCTATCTTGTGTTGCAGTTTTGCAGGGGCTGGGTTTGAACCCCTCCACCCTTGGTATATGGGGCCGGCGCCCTACCTGATGAGCCACAGGCCGTGCCTGGATGCATGGATTTTAATATATATTCAATGTATTTTAAGCAGGTATACTTATTTTTCCTTTTTTCCCTCCTCAAAGCTGTCGCCCTGGCTAGAGTGCCGTAGTGTCACAGCTCATAGCAATCTCCAGTTCTTGGGTTTAAGCAATTCTCTTGCCTCAGCCTCGCAAGTAGCTGGGACTATAGGCACCCACCATGACCACCGGCTATTTTTCGGTTGTAGTTGTCATTATTGTTTGGCAGCCGGGGCAGTATTTGAACCCAC